GCATATATATGTGTGTATGTATGTATGTATGTATGTATGTATGTATGTATGTATGCATGTATGTAATTAGGTATGTATGTATGTATGTATGTATGTATGTATGTATATGTATATGTATATATATATATATATCACAATCATATTGAAACGGGTTTCAATATGTAGTGCATTTTCGCGATGTTGACGTAGCACGTACGCAGCAAGGTCGCTCAAGCTTCCTTTTTTTCATGCGTTATACGCAACTGCTTCCTCGGGGTCACGCAAAACTTGCCACAACACAGCATTTCTATTCGATCTGTACCATGATCAGCTGGAGACCACACGCATGGCCACAACATCTCTACGTGAGCTGTTTCATGTGATCGGCACACAGTTCACCGCACTTGATCCACAAGTCTGTGTTGCGGTACCAATATTCGTATTGCGCTGCTCGGAGCTTCGCCCGAAGCAAATGCGAGCCAGCTTTGCTGTGCTGGTTGATATGGATACGGTCTTTCAAAACCCGCCAACATCTGTCGATCACTTGAGTGCCCGATTTCACAAACAAAATCTTCTTGCTCTTCGGCAGGGTGTGCTTCACAATGGAAACGTACTTAGGCTGCATCCAGGTGTACTTCCCGTTCTTTTTCACGCGGATGCGGCAATGGACGACACGATCATCGATCATGAATGACTCCTGGGTATGACGAGTTTGTACGACTTTGCTGAATCGGTATGTCACACGACGTTACGATCCTTCAACAGTTTGGTGCCGATTTGTTTCCACTCGATACGACGGATCGCTCCTGGACCCGGGGCTCTTTTCACAGTGACCTTGGGAGTAAGTCTCTGCAAAACCAATGACTGTGGATGTCCTCTTTGAATACACCCAGCCCTTGCTCCCACATGATGCTAATGTTCTTATTCCTCATGAGAAGCTTGAAGTCCAGCTCGTTAGAGATATCGCGCTTGTCGAAGGTCGCTTCATCCTATGACTAACAAAACAGTACAAAGTTTTTCAATATTAGAATCAAACAGAGGCCGAGAGATTTTTTACGCGTATAAATATCAAGGCTAGATCATAAGGCTAATCCTTGTAAGATAAAGAACGTAGGTTATGCTACTAAGATGACATGCAGCGAATGTTGTGTGACATACTTAGCAATTTCTTACACGTGATGTTACCGATTACACGAAAGACGATGTATCCAAGATAAACTCGTGAAGTATTGTTTTATTGTCTGCCCTGTAACAATGATCACGCGCAAATAGGTACCAATGTTGTCCCAGGTGTCTGCTTCAACATCTTTCCAATTCTTGCCATCTCCGAAGACAATCTTCTTCTTCTCTTTTTCCACAAATACCCGTCGGAGCTCGCATAGGCGCTTTTCCATATCCTACACGATCTCGTAGCATGTGCCAACCGCAAAGGACTTCAATTTTGTTTGTGCGAGCTTTGCCTTGGTTAAGAAGAAATGCTTCACGATGGTGAGCTTGTCATTACTCTGAGTAAGGATGAAGAACTGAGATTCGTAGTCGAAGTTGGGATGTCCGTTTATTTTGCGAGCATAGGGTACATCACCCCAAGCTTTGTCCTTGAAGATGCCCTTCAACATGCCGGTGTCTATGTCCTCTTTGGGTACGTCGTGGAGGATGTCGAGAAAGTGTCCTATGGCCGTTTGGAGAAGCAAACCTAAGTGCGAAACGCGTTTGAATCGATTTTTTTTCAAAAATTACGCACCAATCCAAAATTACTTATTATATAACAAGTCACTCGCGGATAGGCAGGTTCGTTTCATTGATGGCTCCTTGGGGCTTGGTTCCCACAGCCACGTGTTCTTGTAACTCACGTAGCACCATCTGATCGGTGGCCTCCTTCGCCTCGTTGAAGCAAATGTTGTCCGCATCCATTTCGCCTGCGAGTAAAGCTACTCTACACGTGCTTAACCCTAAAGAACTCTTGAAGCAAGATGCTGCGACAATCACAGTGTCGTGGCATGTGCAAGCTGTCTTTGCAAGGGCTCCAACGCATTCTCTGGTCTCACACGATAGCATCATACTGAAAATAACTACTGTCAGCCTTATAATGCATACATACAGTATAAATGCAATCTACACTGGTAAGAGACACTAATTCCATAATTTCAGATCTGCGAAGGTTGCCTATTGCCGACTTGCAGATTTCGCAATCTGGAATTAT